AAACCGCATGAGGAACCTTGAGAAGTACCAGGAGGGATCAGAGATCATGTGGGATGCTCGCTTGAACCACTCCGGACCACTCCCCCTCAAATATCGTGTAAGCATGCCCGAAGCCCTGAACCCCAAAAGCCCTGCTTAGTTAGCTCGTTGGGGCATCGAAAGTCAGAGGCAGCAGCACTTAAGAAGCCGAGATCACTAGAGGGGGGGGTCAGAGGAACTTGTAAGTATAGGCCTTGGCTTTATAGTAGACTATAAGATATCATAATATACTATAGTACATGATAATACATTATTGTACATTACAGGATAACATAGTATACTATAGTATATTATACAAAAATGGTTTACTGCCCTTCCCTCCACTGGACAGAATCACTACTGCATCATTCCCGGCAAGCTGGGATGCCACCTTCCTTGTAGCCCCAGGGTGTGCAAAAACCCTAAACCCTAAACCCTAAACCCTAAACCGTTAGCCTACGCATGCCTTCGCGCATTTAGGGTTTAGGGTTTACGGGTTGCTGGACTCCCCCCAAACTTGCTCACTTCCTCCCATCAACCTGCCTCCAGCTGATTCTCTATTCATATGGGGAGCCCTAAACCCTTTACAACCACTATGTCGTCCCCATATGACCCCAATATCTATATATATATATGTATACATACACACATACACACATACATACATACATACATACATACATACATACCTATATATACATACATACCTATATATATATATATATATATACACCTATATATACGTATAGATATATGCCCCTATATATTTATATATACCTATATATATATATACCTATATCTATATATGTGTGTGTATGATCTGTCTTGAGACCCCTATAATAGGATTGTGGCGTTTCAATCGCCACACCGGCACTGCCGCTCATTACTGATAAGAGGATGTGGGCTTAGTGTTTAGGGTTAAGGGTTGAGGGTTTAAGGTTAAGGGTTTAGGGTTTAGGGTTTAGGCTTTAGGGTTGAGGGTTTAGGGTTAAGGGTTTAGGGTTAAGGGTTACGGGTTTAGGGTTTAGGGTTTAGGGTTGAGGGCTTAGGGC